TAAGTCTATAGCCTTAAAGGATTTTTGGCCAAAAATACGTTTTTTCTCTGAACTAAAATTTAATGTGCCTAACTATTTAAGTACATCCAGAATAATACACAAGCACCAAGAAATGACCTCGAAAACCCATAAGTGGCGAGTAATTAGCATTACAAAAGTAATTAAAATATTCTAAAACTCATTTGAACATTTTCTAAAAGCCATTTGAACAAGTTATAATCAAGATATCAAATTTTGGTTAACAGATCCTTAAGCAGCACATTCAGGAGTACCTATACTGAAATTTTGAACAAAATCCATTTTTTGGCCGAAATGAAAAAATTAAGTCTCCAAGCCTTAAAGCGATTTTTGGCCAAAAATACTTTTCTCTCTGAACTAAAATTTAATGTGCCTAACTATTTAAGTACATCCAGAATAATACACAAGCACCAAGAAATGACCTCGAAAACCCATAAGTGGCGAGTAATTAGCATTGCAAAAGTAATTAAAATATTCTAAAAATCATTTGAACATTTTCTAAAAGCCATTTGAACAAGTTATAATCAAGATATCAAATTTTGGTTAACAGATCCTTAAGCAGCACATTCAGGAGTACCTATACTGAAATTTTGAACAAAATCCATTTTTTGGCCGAAATGACAAAAATTGTAAGTCTAAAGCCTTAAAGGATTTTTGGCCAAAAATACTTTTTCTCTCTGAACTAAAATTTAATGTGCCTAACTATTTAAGTACATCCAGAATAATACACAAGCACCAAGAAATGACCTCGAAAACCCATAAGTGGCGAGTAATTAGCATTGCAAAAGTAATTAAAATATTCTAAAAATCATTTGAACATTTTCTAAAAGCCATTTGAACAAGTTATAATCAAGATATCAAATTTTGGTTAACAGATCCTTAAGCAGCACATTCAGGAGTACCTATACTGAAATTTTGAACAAAATCCATTTTTTGGCCGAAATGACAAAAATTGTAAGTCTAAAGCCTTAAAGGATTTTTGGCCAAAAATACTTTTTCTCTCTGAGCTAAAATTTAATGTGCCTAAATATTTAAGTACATCCAGAATAATACACAAGCACCAAGAAATGACCTCGAAAACCCATAAGTGGCGAGTAATTAGCATTGCAAAAGTAATTAAAATATTCTAAAAATCATTTGAACATTTTCTAAAAGCCATTTGAACAAGTTATAATCAAGATTTCAAATTTTGGTTAACAGATCCTTAAGCAGCACATTCAAGAGTACCTAATTCAGGGCTGTGGAGTCGGAGTCGGAGTCGAAGAGTCGGAGGAAATTTCGGCTTGTGGAGTCGGAGTCGGTAAAATTGTCCAGACTCCGACTCCGACTCCGACTGAAGCTATTCTGTTCCTAAGAACAAATATATGAACTCAGGCATATTCATTGCAGTGATTCCACTGATCCCACTAATTTTCTTAAATTATTAAAAGAATTTATTTCCATTTTATAAGCATTATTATGAATTTATTGTAGCAGGCACAGTATAGCACTATAATTTTGGACGATAGTCTCTTCTTTACCATTTGAAATTTTGAATTATATCAAATTTTGTTTCGTTGAAAACTGCACAGAGGCTCTCGGCTACAAAACAATTAGCTACAACCTGTTTTTGGTGAGATTGAGGCAAATTTAATTTTATAACTTAATCATGTAAGGTTTATCCATTTTCCTTAATAAGGTATTCATTTCTTTAATGTACATAAATATATAACTTTACTTTAAAAGGAATTGTAGGATCATCATTTAGATCCACATCAGATTATGAGCTTAAACAAAATTCATATGCTGAGATCGAACTTTTAGATATACATGTAAATGGTGTTTTCTAGTTAATATCTTGAATTCTTAATAAATTTATTTTTCTTTTGATTGAAACTTTGAAAGTCAAGCCTATCATCTTTTTGTAGTTCTTAAATATCGTCCAGATCATTAATAAAGCTGTAGCAGTATAGCCACGGTGTTTTACTTTTTACCTATGCAGGTTACAACATACAAATTGCAATTAGGATGGTAGAAATAGTTGTTACAAATAGGCCAAGTAGTCGGAGTCGGAAGCATAAAAATTTGAGGAGTCGGAGTCGAAGGTTTTGTCTTCGACTCCACAGCCCTGCATGTATTAACATTACTGTATGTATTAGTTTTCTATTGTCCAAAAAACTTGACTCCAGGAAGAATAAATAAATATGATGTGGCATGCAATGAAGGCAAGGTTCTATTTAGTCATTACATGTATTCTAGACAACCATAAACAGCAATACAGTACTGTACTATTTATTCATACTCATATGTTAACCAATGGTATGACCAGAAAACAGTAAGGTTGCCCAATCTGCATGAGTGACAGAAACATACCCAAGCTAAATTCATAATTTGCCTGTCAGAGCTGAGAGGTAAAGTTTTGCTCAAGTTTGAGTCAAGCCTGATGTAAAGGCCTATTTACAATAAAATTATTGTTTTCAAGATCAAACTTTTGCACAGGATGTTAATAAAATATATTATAGTTTGCTCCCATTAAATTCCAGAGTCAAATTTTTTTGGAAAAAATAAAAAATCATCCACTATGTCCTTAATACAAATTTACCAAGTTTCAAAATCTTTCATGAAAAAAATGTAAGAGGAGTTGATAACCCAAGTGAGAATCCCAGTACTGTACTGGGCAGGATGAAGAAAAAGATGGAAATAAAGAGATGGATGGACATGATAAATATTCACTGACACTATCAATGGCGAGGAGATAAAATAGTAGTATATACAGTTATGCATCCATAGGTATTAATTCTATTACTAAAGTGGGTATGAGTCAAACTGATTATTTTTTCTTTATGAATGGTAACAATGTATACAGCAGTTAGTCACTTTGTTTAATTTAGTGTGGCATTACCCAGTATACAGCAGTACCCGTACTTTCTATGTTGACTACCAGTAATGTATTATGAATGATAAAAACTGAAGTACTGTAGTCTGCAGTGTCAAATAAATGTACACCTGTATTTGAATTTAAATTTTTCATGTCTTTAAAATCCTTTGCAAGGTAATATTTTTTCTTTTACAAATAAGACTCAAGTCACAAACAGATGTCCTCAACACGGCCAGGACGAGTAGGAAATAACAAAGAAGAGTAAGAATTTTTTATATAGAGTAAGATTTACTTTTTTAAGATGGAAAGATTGTAGTTATTTGGAAATATATGCAAACATATATAGTTCTGATGTTTAGCAATAGTGTGAAAGTAACAGCCTTTACAATTACCCACAATGGAATAGTTAACGTCCATAGTGTAACTGTGTGACACAAAGGCTTGTTGAGCAGCCAGCGCTCCTGGTGAGAGGAAATCAATGCAGTTAGCACCGACTTAGTGTACATAATGTGTGCCTGAAAATCTGTATGTTTGGTGAACATTGATTTCACATTCATATCCATGTTATAAACTGAAATAATGTATACATCCCAAATCATTCCCTCCAAAATATCTTTACCTCGGGTTACCTCTAATAACGAGAGAATGTTGAAATACGAGCAGACGCTTAATATAATTTAAAAAGTTTCTTACCTTAGATTATGGTATCCACTTGCACACAGAACTTAAGTAGTAATTACAGATGAGGAGTGAAATTATTGCGAGGAGGTAGAGGGGCAGCCATGGCTGACTTTGGTGATTTACGTGTCTAGGGAGTGGTCTTTCAACTGTAGGGTAAAATGAAAGTTTTGGTCCCAATACTGTACAGTACCCTGTAAATGCAGGAAGCTTTGACCAATTCTCACAAGAAACTATTATAACAAAACAAAAGATGTGCAGCAAGTAAAAAGTGTCGGTAAGCACATGTTGTGGAAAGGTCGAGCAAAGGTGCAATGTACGTAACTGCAGACATACGTGCATACCATAAGACATATAGTACCATTAATTATAAAAGGTACTGTGTATCTGCAAACATACAGTAAGTGAGCACTGAGAGTTTTGTAGAGAAGGGAAAGAATTAAATTTTGAAGTAAGAAGGGAATTTAATAAAGTGAACTGCATTAGAGAGTTGATCCAACAGTGACTACAAAAATGAAATAGCAAGAGCCATTTGCCAAACCATATTACTGTAAAGACTTTTTGAAATACAGTAGTACTGTACAGTATTGGGGTCTACAACAAAATATTCCCCAAAATCTCCTTGAGAAGATGCTCAGACATTATTGACTCAAATAAATTATATCACCAGGGGATCTTACATTAGCATAAACCTTACTGGTCTTCAGAAATAAAATTGCTAGGTTTGAGAAGCTTGAGGATATGAGAGTTGAGAAAAGATTCAAACACTTTAGAGACAATCACAAATAAAGTTAGAGCTATAAGGATTAAAATGGTCGTCACCTTTCTTCAGGATGGGATAAACAAATGCATGTCCCTAAGATGTAGGAAAAGTCAGGTTTTTAGACAAAGGCAAAACAGACAAGTAAACATAGAAGCAGGCTTAGATATACACTCCCTCAGAACAAGAAAAGGGAGGCTAACAATGCTATACACTTTACATGTGTCAAGGAAAGGAATGTTTTATGTACTATGTGAAATGCAATCTTAAAAGAAGCACAGGAATAATCAAAGGTAAATCAGATATTGAATGGATGTCAGAATTATTTACTATAATTATAAACTGCATACTGTACTGTATTAAGTTTTAATCAACAAGTTATCTTTGAGTTATATATTCACCTCATTTAATAAACTTCTGAATATATTACTCAAGTAAAAAAAAAACCATTAAATTGTATCTGCCCTTTATCAAAGTCCACTTCATTCACGTAGTACCGAGTATTGGAACTCAACACTGTCTCAAGCATGATGGTCAAGGTTCATTTGTGAGTATGAATGTTTGTCTTGCTTAGTCATTACTTATATACTGCACCTTGTTTCATTAACCCACAATTTTCCCCAAATTTTATGTCTTTTTGACTTCCACTGGGTCATTTATTACAGTTTGGTTATTAAAAACAACTTATGGGAGTTGGTCTCCTTCATCGTAATTTTATTCAAAATATAATCATTAAAAATCTAAATTTAATAAGAAAAAAAGTACAATCAGGGTGCATTCTTATATCTACAGTTACAGGGAATATCCATTACCATTCTGAAAACTGAAAAATTCCAAAAACCGAAATGCATCTGGTCCCAAGGATTTCGGATAAGGGATTGTCAACCTGTACTTATGTATCAATAGACCAGGTAGCTAGTTGAAATTAGTAAGGTTTCATTATTTTGTACATGTACTTCCTTTCAGGTGTTTAACACTTGAGCTGTGACCTTATTTCTTCTTATAAAATCTTCAGAATATCAAGATTTTTTCTTTTTATTCATGTGAGTTAAAACAACAGTGATTATAGACCTAGAAATCCAACTAAAACTAAGGTATATAGTTGGATGTTTAATAGAAACACTTGGAAGTACTGTACTACCCCTAGAACTATTATATCAACTGATTTTCTCGTGTAAGAACCTCAAAGGTATTTTTCTCTATCACTGAAAACAAAGTCCATAGCAAGACATGACAAATCTCAAGAAGATAATTCTTAATATTTCCGATCTAGCAAATTCATATGCTTATGACAATCCTTGTACGATACTTCTGTCAAGTGAAGCTATGAGCAGTTACACAACAAATATTACAAAACATTCACTTGATGCAGCATCATACATCAACTACGCATATGACATACAGTATCTATTTTTACTCTTATAGTAAATCCATGCTAACCTGTTGCTAAGTTATTTCAAGCTTTGTTATTGCTTACAGTAAGTTCATTATTATCTATAACAGGACTGAGCTTTCAATCTTGATATTAAGATACAGTTCACTGTAGCCTTAACAGAATTGATTTCAAACTTGGTTCTTAGTTACAGTTAGCTCATCAAAACCTGTAGAAGAGTCGTACTCTCGGCTGAGTTTAATATCAGTTATTTCCCCAAGTGCGACCTCCATGGTGGTGAAGACAACAAGGTCACCCATGACGTGGCCACCTAGCGTGCCACCTTCTTCATCACTCAGGCAGATGTGCAGGTGTGTCCCACCCTTGCTGATTGTCCCGGACATTCCCAATACCTCAAAATGTTTCTTGAATGTTTCGATCTGACCGGGGTTACCAATATCACTATTACCACATGATTTAACTCTAGCCAGGTTTGTTCCAAAACATCTAGTTGCATTCAAGTTTTAATAATTAATTTTTATCTATAAATCAACTTACTCTACTATTAATAGCATTGTGGAGGGCCAAATACATTGTGCCTTACTAGAAACTAAATCTATCTATCCTTTATTCTTGCCAAAAGACAGCAATGCAGCAAAACTCTCATATGGCTGAACAACTCATTATACAGTATAATAATTTTTTCTCTAAGTTGAGACTTTAGTGAGAAATCCATCTCCATTTGCTTTCATTTACTGCATATACCTCATAATCAGTCCTTGGGCAACTCAACTGGCATATTCTTATGCCAAAACAACTGTCAGTGATTTTACCCATCTCATTAAGGTCTCCCCCATCTCTTTTACTTCATATATTCAAATATCTTCTTTGCTAACCTATTACTCATTACACATTCCACATGTTTATACCATTTCAGCATATTTCCAGTTAAGTACAGTATCTCTCAAGGATTTCTGGCCAAGCATATCTCTTAATTTCCATAGCAATTTGCTTTACAATGCAGTATTCAGTTGCAGTTATTTTTTGTATTATTCACTAAAATTTCAAAGTACTGTACAGCATTGTACTGTACTGTAATACTTTAACAAATATAATATACAGATATTATACAGTATAAATGTTCATTACAGTGGTCCCTCGGTTAACGAGCACAATCCGGTCTAGAAGGTTACTCGTTAACCGAAAAACTCGTTAACCGAAACCATTGTTTCAATGGGTTTTTGGGTAATTGGTTCCAGCTCACCGAAAATTGACTAAAGTCAACAAAAAAGGTAGAAAAGTACACTTACTTTGAGGTGTGTATGTAGAAGGCTCCTGGATGATGATGATGATGGGAATTAGAATGGGGGTGGAGGAGAAGGGAGAAGAGAAGTCACCCGATGGCACCATTTCACCCATAAAATTTTAGTTCTCTTGGTGTAATTCAAGATTATTTTCTTTAAATCAACACTGCATTGCATTATATATTGTCAATATGTAAAATAAATTTCAAAATGACCAATAATCTGCTTGTAAACACAGAAAATAAGCATTTAGTTGAAGAGAGTCTCAAGCAAGATGTTACCTCCACTGAAAAGACACAAAGACTGATGCCTGTATGGTGTGTTGAGAGGCTGGATGGTGCGCATAAAACTAGTTTCATTACCTTCAATTATGTTCAATAATTGTTAAAATGACTAAAAAATTTAATATTAAAATTTTAAAATTATTGAATAGTATAAACTTCTTGATATTTGCTAAAATGGTAAGGAATTTAAGCCCTAGAACCAATTACTGTATTGGCGGACTAATACTACAGCTGGTGGACCGCCAAATGCAAGCGAAAACATGTTCAGGTCGGCTCATAAGAAACTCGTTAATCGAGGCATTGCTCGTTAACCGAAGTTAAGAATCTTATGGAAGGTAACTCGTTAACCGAAATCTCGTTAACCGAGGCGCTCGTTAACCGAGGGACCACTGTAATGTAAAGAAAGAATGACATCCTTGTGCAGAAAACGGCTGTAAAACAATGATGATGATCATCACTACCATACAAAAATTTAAGTCAAGGAGTGAGTGACAATTTCCCTGTCTGTGAGTGAGTCACTGACAAATTTATGCACAAAACAGTTGCTGCAGTTGATCCTAAATATTAAAACTTACAAATACTGTACAGTACTGTACTTGAAATGCACCATTTTTCAGGTTACTTTTCCACTGACATATCTTCTACCTGACACTGACAAATATATATTTCATGCCAAACAAAATATGAACATGATCAGAGCAACACCCCTGCTTAGAACTGTTCAACAGAGAAATTTATACAACTACACTACAGTACAGTACTACATTTTACCAACGAAAAGTCATTTGCCAGAAGAATGAAACTGACTTCCTGGGTTGAGATTTTGCAACATTCATACATTAAATTTATACCCTAATTGGTGAAGCAACAAAGTAGCCAACTGGATCATTTAAGTTACAACATAAGACAGAGGCCAAAATGGCATCAAAATTGCAGTGAAGATCTACAGTACTAATATTAAATGTGTTGTTTTCTTTCTTCTTGTTAAAAAATAAAATAAAAATAAAGTATGAAACTTTAAGAGTCCAGGTCCCAACAAAAAAATTTACATGAAGACTAAGCATTCTGAATGATCTATATTTACCTTGTTGGAGCCATCAGTTTTGGAAGCGAGACGGAGGGTGGCACTGGTGATGGAGCCACAGCATGTCATTACCACCACTCCACTAGGTGCCTCACGGTGCACATACTCCTCCAAACTTTTTCTCACCTGTAAATCATAATACAGTACAATAGATAGATAGGCAAGGCTAAGCCACAATAGTCTGCATGGTGATCATGACAAAATAGAAGAAACTTATAATTGATATCTCTGTTCACCGGAACAATGAGAGATTTACAGATAATGAGGCAACTCTCTCAAACCTGGAAAAAATCCCACATCCCTGGTCCAGGTACTGGTAAAAGTTTCTCAGAATTTTCCGGAAAATACCCCTGATTTTCATCCTTACAGAAGGAAAGAGTTTCTGGAATTGTTCTCAGGGTTTTCCAGAAAATGTGCCTGATTTTCAACGTCAGAAAATCGTTCCCAAACCTGGAATTTTCCGGATCTTTTTTTTTGTCGAGTAAATCTCAATTCCGGCTATTGAAGAGTTGTTGCTAAGAGGGTTTCTAGCTAACGGAGATATTACTTTTAACTCAAACATCCCTGAATGGTTAAAATACTATGTTAGAAGGCATACCTCGTCTCGGGGTGTAGATTAAGTCTGATGGTTATGGTACTAGTCCATCCAATTTAGATATACCAAGATGGAATCTTGCAACTTTAATATACTCTGTACCGTATAGCCCTTATTGCACTCATTAAACAATCCAGCATATTTTAACCAATCAACATATTGTATCCAATGAAGGGTTTTCCCACACTCCAACATGAATCACAGAAAACCACACAATAAATACTGTACAATGTACAGTAGTTAAAATTTTATGCAAGTCTGTTTCCAATAAGAAGACCTCCAGTCTGTTCTTCTACCAACATCCAAAACAGGGTTCCTGGAACGCTATCTCAATAGTAAAATGGAACTTCTCATCCTATGGGTCAAACATCCATTTAGTTTACAAATAACCATCTTCCAGGGATATGCCAATTTACATACACCATGAAATGGGTCCTTTCCTTGACACAGTGTTCATATAAAGGTGGTATTATTAATTTGACTGCCAGCTGAACAATTAACTGGATTGTTTGTACACATGAAACAACTCTTGCAACCTGAAAAAATTTAGAATTTCTAACAACATCAACTGTGAGGGCAAACTTTTTTGGAGTGAGAGTTGTGAACACTTGGAACAATCTGCCAGAAAGTGTTGTGACGGCACCGAGTGTGAGTTCCTTCAAGACCAGACTTGACCAACACTGGACTGGAGCAGGTTGAGGTACATTCAGGAGCCGGTGCATGCCCAGTACCTGCCAACAGTGCATAACAGAGAGCCAGTACATGACTAGTACTTGCCAACTGTGTGTGACAGTGATGTGACCGATCGCCCAAGCGGCTAACGAGCCGGTCAGTGGTGAAGAGGATAAAAGTAAAAAGACAGAAACTGGCATAGCTATAATACTCCTCAAGAGCTCAAATTTATGGGGGTAATGCATTTATCTCTGGCTTATGAAGATGGAGGAGTTTGTCATTTACTGATGAGACAGCTGTTCTTGAAAGACCCAAGATTGTCAAAAGTGTTACACTGGAGGGCAAAATTATGCAGGAGACTGTGGTACAGTACCTTTGATTTAGTTGAGTTAATTTGGTTCTTAGCAAAGTTTAGTAGAGCTCCCCCCCACCTTCATTGGAAAAGTATAATAAAAAATATTGAAATCATTATATTCATAATGAAACAGTTAAAGGCAAAATTCATAGTAGCAAACAGTAGAATCTCTGGATCTTTTTGGTTTCATGTACCGCACTCCAAAAATGTGATCCTTTTTTGGAGAAATGAATAGCCAAAAAATATAGCCCTTTAAACTTTCGATGTTCTATATTGAAATGTTATAATGTGGGGCAAAATACTAAAAAGAACACCAAACAAATCTTTGAAAACCCTATATAACCTTCCTTAACATATAAAAAGGTTGAAAAATCACTTTTGAGGTCACGGATTCCCGCCTCATCTGTCCTACCCAAAACTACACCAACACACACAGAACACCAAAAAACATGACTAAGGTACGCATTTTATAGCTTTAAGATTTTTATAGGTTAGGTAAGGCTTTCAAAAGTTTGTTTGATGTTCTTTACTTGCAACAAAAAACATAAACTAAAGCAATCAAGGCAAAATATGGCAACATTTCAATGTAGAAAACAATGAAAGTTTTAAAGGCCTATCATTATTTTTTGCTACTCATTTATATATACTGTTGGATAGAGTACTCACTTCCTGGCCAGGTTCGAGTCGAAGAACATGCACTTTCATATTGCTCATTTTCTTCTGCTTGTATCCTCATACCTGAGGAGAAAAAGCACGATAAACAATTACCATTGTTTCTGTTTATATAAACATCAAAAGCAAAGATGTAAATTACCATCAGCTATTCACCCAAGGTGACCAAAATAACATAAATGCAACAAGATCTCACTGATTGATTGTTTAATTAATTTTTCTTTACGGGAATTAGCCCACCGGGGCACAGGTTGAACAACCCACAATGGGGCCTAGGGGGCAAAAAAATAAGAATAAAAAGAAATTAAAAAGAAAAAAGAAAAAGGTTATACAGTATTAATCTACACGATGAAGATGCCGGAAAACCAGCTTTTTAAAGTGAGACAAATTGTATGAGTATGGAAATACAGAAGACGGCAGAACATTCCACAGTTTGGCTGTGTGAGGAAAGAAGGATGCACTATAATGGGTTATTCTAGTGTGACCGACATCCACAGAGAAATGGTGGGCACTGAGGCCAAGATGTGTGTTACGAGCCCATGGCCTTGCCGGCGGTATACAGGATGCCAAATCCACCAAACATTGCCCGTCAAAGTACCTGTAAAACAGAGAGAGTGAAGCAACATTGCAGCGAAGAGAAAGGGAAAAAAGATTGTCAACTAAAGGAGGAGAGTTAATAAGACAAAATTCCTTTGATTCCACCCTATCTAACAGTTGGACAGAAGAAGAGCCACCCCAGATATGAGAGCAGTACTCCAAGTTAGGACGAATGAATCCCTTATGTACTTGGAGCAACTGCTCTGGAGTGAAGTAGCTAAGGCATCTGTACCGCATTCCCAACTTCCGGGAGGCAGCTTTAGCAATGTTGAGGATGTGTGGCTTCCATGACATATTAGAGGAAATGGTGAGGCCTAGCATATCTATTTTAGAATTTGGCAAAATGATAGCATCCTGAAATGTAACTGGTGGGAGATCATCTAATTTAGATGATCATCAGTAAAGGATTAATAAGTATTACATTTAGTAAAACTGGACTGTATCAAGTTATGTTAGTTTGGATAAGTTAGGATTAGTTGGGTAAGGTTTACAATTAAATTTTATCAAGAGGAAGAGGAGAAAATTGCCCAGAAACCAGTTGACAGACAAAACTCGGTTTATGAAAAGAGTTTCAGATTTTTTGGTTATTGTCTGTCACTTCACTCTTATTAAATTTAGCACATTGACAATGAAATGTATTGCAGATTGCAATTGTTGCTGTGAGTAGTTGGTAAATATACTAAAGGCACACCAATGACTGCAGCCAGGGCCAAGTGTAGCCGTAAGAGCAGGCCCGTCCTTTTGGGGGGCGAACAGGGGCGACCGCCCGGGGCCCCGCGCGTGTGGGGGCCCCACGGGGCCCAGCACTAGACCCAGTGACCTCGGACACATTACCTGTTGACTGGTTAATCTGACCTGACGGCTTACGCCACCATCGCAACCATGACCTTACCATCCATAGCGACAGTCCCATGGGGGTTGGTGGGGGTGGGTTCCTCTGACCGCATAATCTGACTCCATATATATATTTTCTGGGGCCCCACAGTGGCTGAGTTGCCCCGGGCCCTGCACCCTCCTAGGGACGGCCCTGCGTAAGAGAACTACCTGGTAAGTGGATGCTTAGTGCTCCAATAGCCCTAGGGGGCCACCTTATAATCCCAATTGAATGAAAATACTCCCAAGCATACAGAGAACCTGATAAAAAATGATAGAGGGATGTTTTGACAAGGTTGGTTGCTATAGTACAGTCACACATTCACTCACTGAAAGGAACTTTGCTCTCTGGCTCTCCAGACACATCAGTAACTTCCTGAGAGAAGCTGAAATACTGTACAGACTTTTAAGAAACCTAGCTCCCTAACGACTAAGAAAACAGCTGAAGGTGAATAAGCTGGGGTACTTAATCTTCACATGTTTTGCCCCTATTAAAGTCAGGTGTACTTAATAGAATATATATTTTTTTCAGTTCACTAAACAGCATGGAGGCCAAAGCCTCTTTGCTCTTTCCGAAGTAAATATGAAGTGCAGAACTGTATTGTACTATTTTCAGATCTCACAAAGATTAGGGACCACATCTTATTTCAGCTGATGATTTAACAAACAAGTAACTTGGATGTTTTCTTCCTAAGTTGTAAGCATGAGACATGTCCCCTTTGACACATCCAATGTGTTCTTCCATTACTCGGTCAAACTTTACAAGTACAATACTAACGTTTCCAAGGCCTCTCACACCAGTCAATGCTGGGGGGTAGATTGTTGCTGATATTTTAAAGTAGGTTGGGTTAGCATTGAAATGCTTAGCCATTAAGTGAAGTAAGATGGCGTGCCTAATCTTCATTTATTCCATTAGGGCAGTAAGTGAATACCTGCTGTACTGCAAGTCCGGAATATGTACCACTCAATGGTTTGTTCCTGCTTAGACAATTCCTATTTGGACGATCATCTGTTTTATGCATTTTGTTACCATCTTTGTTAAAAGATCAGATTAGGTTAGGTTAGATTAGATTAAATTAGGTTACGTTAAATCGTCCAGATGGGATGTAATCAAACGGCCTCCTTGCAGTTTTCTAAATTCGAAATAATTTTTCCTTGCTTCTCTACCGGATTGGGTTTCTAGGTATCAAATCAATCCTGACGAAGACAAAGAATTAAAAGTTCTCGGAGTCATCTTACAAGTGAACTCACACAGATATCTCATCTAGTCTTTGGAGTTTATTTTTGCTATCAAACGTATTTAATACTGTTTAGCTGTTGGAAATATTAAGATAATTTTACCATGGCTTATTCTTGTATACATTTATACTCACCAGAACTACAGTAAAATGGTATGGTTGGTTTGTGATGAAAATATATCCAGGAAACAGACCTGGCGAATTAAAATTTAAATCAGTGTAAACAAACCGTCAGCTGATCTCTGAGGTCACGTGCAACCCTTCCTCAATCCTCACATATTACTTTTTGGGGGGATTAAGACAAAAGCCCCTCGGACAAAAACAAATCAACGGCTAAAACTAAATCAACGATACCTATCCTAACTTTTATATAATATTGGGACACCTAATTTGTCCGGTGAGTTTTTGTCCATGTACCGTGTAAGGATCCCTCTATTGTTCTTGATAGTTGGTATGATTGTCCTATTGTAAGTCCATGTGTGGGATCCTTCTATTGATCTTGATAGTAAAGTTAACACAAATGCAATATAGTTCTAATAAGGTTTCACCATTCTCTGCGGAGACTATAAAAAAAAATAGTATGATATTTGGGTAACTGCACAATTTGTTTAGTACAATACGACACCTAATTAAAAACACAGAGACGTGACTGATTTCCCAAGCGGCTAACAGACCGATAAGTAGTGAAGAGGATTAAATGAAAAAAAAATACACCAAAGTAAAATAACTGTGATATCTTACAAGCCGATCAGTGGCACTGAGGATAAAAGTAATAAAAAGTAAATTAGTCCTCCCGTGTAAGAGTTTCATTTTCTTTTAAGGCAACAGCGAAAATGAACGTTAATAAACAGTATCATGAATGAGTTTAAATGCGGGAATTAAATGATTTTGAATGAATTTAAAGGTACTATCAAAGAGACCAAGGGAACGTCATGGAAGAAAAGTCTGAACTTTTGATTGCAAAGTTAAAAATAGCGAAATTCTTTTGGTGCCAATAATAATAATAATAATAATAATAATAATAATAATAATAATAATAATAATAATAATAATAATAATAATAATAATAATAATATGTGTAGTAGTCGTAGTAGTAGTAATAATTATGTACAGTATAATTATCCTGTAGTTAATTCAGGACAGTTATATTAGAGAAATTAACTTAAGCTATATAAATTTTAATAACAAAAAGTTCGTATAATGTAACTTTAATACATTAAAAAAAAATATATGTTACAGAATATTAGTTAAGTACGGTGACTCGATTATGCTTGATCATACTCTTTTAATAATCTGATGGGCAGGTCTTATCTTGCTTTTTTGCACTTCCCGGACAAAATCTTGAGAACGCTCATGCTATAACTTAGAGTAAATACAAAACATAAGCTTAAATCATAATCTTCAACTGAGTGAGTTTAAATGGTACAGTTCGATAGTTTGAATGACATTTAATTCCCGAGTTAACTGACCAAGTTTAAATGAACGAGTTTAATTAACTATACAAACAAATCACTTACTACGTAAATCAGAGTTTGGGGTTCGTCAAGCACGGGGCCTGAGGCTTAAGTTTCATTTGACCTCAATGATAATTAATAATTCGCCATTGGCACTTATAAGCAAACCCATAAAAATAACACCACGGCGGCACCAACATTACATCAAGAAGTCTTAATAGATTCACTTAGCACCCGTTAGGGTACAAAATTAATGTACAGTCCCCTTCACTAGTGCGTTTACAGGGGCTCGTCAGGTTTAGTACAGTGTGGCAGCCCTGTGTTTTTACATTCTACAGAAGGAAACTAGCAAAAGTAAAAATACCATGGAATCAATACTAATAAAAGGGACTGTGCATCATACTGTGAAAAAAACCCTCTTATTGTCCTCTTTACTTTACTTTTACTTTATCTTCTTCACTACTGCTCGGTTCGTAGCCGCTTGGGCGGTCGGTCACGTCTCTGTTACGCAATGTTGTCAAGTACTGGGCATGTATTGGCGCTAAAATGTGTCAACTATACCTGTGCCAGTGTTGGTCAAGTTTGGTCTTAAATGAGATCATACCCGGTTTCGTCACAACACTTTCCGACAGATTGTTCCAAGAGTTTACAATTCTCACTTCACAAAAATTTGCTCTGACAATTTCCTGAACTTTTGACTTCTTCAACCTTAAGCTTGTGGGGTGGGCATTCGCCATTTCCAGGTATGAACACTTGACTGAATAATGGCATCTAAGGTATAAAGCATTCTGAGGCCTTCAGGATTGGAGTGTTCTTTTCATATTTGTGGCTTCTTGTCTATTTATCTGGGGAAAAAGAAGAAGTTATCTATAAAGAAAAAACAAAGAGAAACGTAGAAATAAAGATTTTTATATATCTCTAATAAGCTGAATGTTTGTATAAGTTCCGCTTTAGGGTTTTAAAGTTGACAAGACACAGAGTTTTAGGCTCATAAACCAGTGGACCAATCTCTTACACATACGAGTTCTAAAAGTAGGATCTTGCCAGCTTGGAAACACCTAACATGAACCCTTAATACGAATTGCTGTGTATGTGTTAACTGATGTCTCTATCACTACAAACAAAAGAGCATCCAACACTGTCTACATGAGATGAGGGAGAATAAAAGACCCACATGATCAATAGCATCTGTTTTAATAGTAAACAATAGCACAGTCGTTACAAGCTTGGTGTCCATTAAAAACAGAACACACACACCCACACACACACACACACACACACACACACACACGCACACACACACAATCTTCACAGCTAGAAATTATGCAGTTGTTGACAAAGTTAAAATAAGGTAACATTCACCGAGTTAAAATTATCATTGCACGAGGATAAAGTTATGTTAATCTCGTATAGTGTTAAAGAGTTATTATGCCATGAGGTTGAAATTCCCACTTACTGTGTTATATAGTATAGCGTCACTATACTTATTACAGCATTGTGTTAATACTGTACTCTAAAACGTCTGTAACACTTGGTAGTTCTGCAGCATCATCTTGTATGTGTATTGTAAGTATGAAGGCATAGGAGTGGCTGTACAGTATTTCATGTTTATTGGTAAGTCTCTCATCCTTCTGTCTCGTATTTCATTTTCTCCGGTTATCATTCTTGGTTTTTGCAATTGACCTCTGATTCGCCTCTTCCTCACTGTACTCTCTCCATACAACTGTTTCCCCAAAAGAACGTGACATCTGTGGATAATGTAAATGGTCGTGAATCGTGTCCACCATTATGAGCACTGTACAGTATGTGTTCTGTTTATGACATGTTTTGATTCTTCCCCTGACTCGACTATTTGATTCTAGTAGAAATAATAAATGTTTTTGATCAATAAATGCCCTGAATATAAGAAGGCTGATTATTCTCCCTAAATGTATGCAAACAGGCTGAAAATAGTGGCAAAGCAATGTGACGCCACACAATGCTGGCGTTACCAACTATATGAGAAAATTAGAAGCATTTTTGTAAATTCTGAAAAGGCGACTATAGACTTTGCTACAATTGAAACACATATGCTTTGGAGAATACTCGTGTTGTATCAAAAGGAAGAAACTCGCAAATAAAATACAAAATAAAAATATCGTAAGATTTTCATGCCAGCGGTGGTAAAGTTTTCTTTTCTTGCAACTTTTAGAAGACCCAATAGATATTCCAGAACGATGCACGATCCACCCTGCGCCACTACAAGTCTAAAATTTTCACGCGAGTACGACATGAAACATCCACCGCCTATGAAGTGCAAAAGGAGAACTTCGAAATATGACCAGCCCTTGTGCGTACTGTTTCTCCCCGTCTGGCAGTTCTTTTATAAATGAGTAAAATACAGTTCCTCACAGTTACAAATAAAGATCATATTACAGGCTCATCAATACTGTACTCTCTTACACAAGTAGATACTCACACAAACATCTTCACTAAAAAAACACACACACACACACACACGAATAAACATTTCTCTTTAAAACTCATGGCAATATCCATAAAGATCGTTTGTCAATGAAAGGGTAAATATTCAGTTGACTGAGTTTGATCAAAGTAACTTCAGACTTCACAGTTTTTCATTTGTGTATGTGGTGTGAACACAACGCAAGGTAAGTCTTATTCTAAATGTTAAACGCCGTTGTTATTATTGTCACTGCATTCGCAATTTGGTTCACCTGATGATAAGACACCTATGATACTTATTTTTACCAGAAGATTAACTATACTAACGTTACGTGGGGGTTGCGTTAGATTAGACAAGGTGAGGTGATGTTAGGTTAAGGTAGGTTAAGCAATGTTAGGCTAGGTTAGGTTAGAGTTAGGGTGGTTAATATACAAGTGAGGTAAGCTGTGGTGTCTAATCTTCAGGTGATCCTAGGGTGGCACACAAATAGCCTTACTACAACTGTTCTTGGTAAAGCGACTTATGCACCCACCTGCTGTATATTAGATACCCTGATGCATTCTCCTCGTGTGGTGTGACTAGAACTAGATTAAACAGGTACACTGGCGTCTCTATAAACTAACTCACTCAACATAGTCAGGAGTTAACTTCAAAATTACCAATACGTATCCCACGCCATCTGTATCTCACCAACCCCCATAGAATCCTAGGGCCCTGATGAGGGGAGGGGAGGACACTTCTGCCTGAGTGAATCACCCTCGGGACACATAAAACCCAATACTTAAGCCCCGGAACAATTTCAATGACGGTTTAAACTTTTAACAAGAGAGGATTATGAGACTGCTGTGGATTAGGTCTACCTTAGCTGTGGTCGAATGGAGGGTCTATCTTAGCTATGGATGGTTCTGAGAGAGTCATACATAGATCTGTAGGAAAATCTCCTGTTGGTCTGGTTTCGATCACTATGCACACAAGTAGTTCTTAATTGAGATAGACTTAGGTTTTAAGGAAGTGAGTGGTGCCTTGGCTGTGGTTTGTGTATATATATATATATATATATATATATATATATATATATATATATATATATATATATATATATATATATATATATATATATATATATATATATATATATATACTATACGAATTCCCGGTTATTACATTATTGCCGTATTGCCACCTTAAGTTCGTACTCTCTTAATGTCCCTGTCTCAACACGCTCCGATTTTATTGCAGGTAATACTGTTGATTGTAAGCGTTAACTTTTGTGTATTGATATTTCCATTTCCTCACCCCAGGACTCTGACGTGTAAGACTTTCACGTAAGTAAGTTTGTGTGGGGCCATTGTTCAAGGGGGAAACATTTAATTACACTTACTTTCACATCACCTCACACCGAGTATAGAGTCGCTCTGGGCCAACTTTCTCGGGCACCGTTTAAATGAGTCAAAGAGCTGCATCAGAAAAAGCACCCAACTCCATGATCGAGTTTCCTTTTTGGCGGAGCTAAATTTCCAATCACTGGTTTAAATTGATTTGCTTATACAGTTGAATTGACTCATTTCAAGACCTTAATAAATGCTTGAGGTCGGTTTCACAAAGGTTCCTCGGGTGAATACTGGTCATAAGCTGAAGAAGATGTTGTGAATGTGTTAAATCTAGTTGACTCAAGACCAGGGAAAACACAAACATTCAACATCCCCAAACAACATCAATATTTACTCTACCTTACTTAAAATCTTTCACCTAAGGTAGAGAATTGTTCCCTAAAGATCTTCTACCTTAAATTTGAATAGGTAAACATATCTAGTTCAGATAAATCACTTAATTTACTTTTAATACGAGTTTACATCTTATATATTTCATTTAAGTCAATCAATTGCTTTCACACATGTTTACTTACGAGAAATATTCGTCACGAGGAAGTTTATTAATCCTGTACCTCCAACTACACTTTAAGGTCGACCATTGAACATGAACTGAGGGACCCTGGTGACTTTTTTTAAATTATTATTATAAGGGCCCGCACCATAAACCTGTTTCCACATTCACAAGATTTTTTTTTATTTTACTGTTACCTAACTTAACCAAACCAAATTGCCGGACTTTATCAAATAAACCTATCATATCCAGGGTTTAAGGTGTGCTTGTTATTGTTTTAGAAAGGTGTGTGTGTGTGTGTGTGTGTGTGTGTGTGTTTTATACGTACCTATTTTGTTTACGTCTAGGACACACACATACACACACACACACACACACACACACACACACACACACTCCAGGTTGTAGATTCCACGAAGCTCCTCGGCGTCACCATAGACAACAAACTAAATTGGAAACCACATGTCAGTGAAGTTGTCAAATCCTCCAGTTTCCGTCTCCACCTGCTCAGCCGACTCAAGTCCCTCGGAGTTCCTGCACACGAGCTCCTCAGTGTATACACAACATTCATACTTCCCAAGCTCACCTATGCCTCCCCCACCTGGTCTTCCTCCCTAAATGCCACACAACGTAAACACCTAGAAAAAGTGCAAAAGAGGGCATGCAAGATTATTCTCTCCCCTTCCTACTCCACATATCAAGAAGCGCTCAACACACTGACCCTTTCGACTCTCACTGACCATCACCACGACCTCATCTGCAAATTTGGTAAGAAGCTTTTACACCATCCCCGACACCGGCTCCTACTACCACCTGAGATCCCCTGTCCGAGAATTGCTGTTCGACACCACAACCGCATCCAGCCCATACGTGCACGAACTGATCGCTATAAGAACAGCCCAGTCCCAACCGTTGTAAAAATTATCAATAACATGTAATAAATCAGTGTATTCACTCCCAGTAAACACTGCTCCTTACACTGTCACTATGTTGAAATGAACTGTAGTTTGAGCTGATCCCCATCTAAGTTATTATATGTCTTATTTGTGTCACTTATGTTACTTGTATATTATTTGTAATTCGTAACCCATTCCCCAAATATGTAACTGTATATTTTCAGCCTTCTGGCTGCCAAGCTCTTTCAATAAACCGTTAATTATTATTATTATTATTATTATTATTACACACACACACACCACTGACATCACTTTGTAGAAAATATATCATTCTAAACCATTTTATTACTAAACATTCACATAATTCATCTTAAGTACATTCAATATCCACTTTATTTAACACTTAATAGTCACTTAAACATTAATAGTTACTCTCAACACACAGCTCATGTAAAAAAGAAGATTCCGAATTTTTTTCTCTCCCTTAAGTCCCTTATGAGTACGTATGACCTGAACCTTTGGAGTACAATGACTTAACCCCTTGAGTGTGATGATCTAATCTTTTTGAGTACGATTGACTTAACCTCTGGCGTACAATGATTCGATTTTTGAGTGTGATGAGCTAATCTTTTTGAGTACGATTGACTTATACCTCTAGAGTACAATTACCCAATCCTACAAGGTAAAGCCATTGAGTACGAATTAATCGTTTGAGACTATGAGTACGAGTAATGTAACTCCTTGAAAAAAAACGATGATCGAACCCCCTGAGTGAGATGACTTCACACCTTGAGTATGATGACTTAACCTTTGTATTCATCATCATCATCATCATCATCATCATCATCATCATCATCATCATCATCATCATCATCATCATCATCACACTCGTAGGAAGAAAATGAGATCATTGTGTTCAAAGGGCTATAGTACGTCTTGTTCAACGAGTTCAATACGTTGTTAATATTGTGTGTCGATGAACAGTGAAGTCTCCTTGCATCTTGTCATCACTGTGTTGTTGTTGTTGTTGTCTACCTGTCTTCGCCGTTAACTGAAGTACCATTGTGCGCCTGAAACAACAAGAACACGAGTCAGTACAGTACTAATAAAATCTTACTACTACTACTACTACTACTACTACTACTACTAATAATAATAATAATAATAACCAAGGAGTCACATTTCACTCCACATAAACTAACACACCCTGGCCATTAACTCTTAAAAGGTTTTGGGTAATCACTTATGTAAAAATATGGAGCTTGTATATACACGTTTTCATTTCAGTATTAATATTGCGACTAATAATTAATTAATGTTTTTGAATATAAAATTTTTTCATCACGCTTGAAAAAAAAAAAGGAGCGATTTCAGTCAGGTTAGAAAAGGCGGGCAATGTGTAATGGAGGAGTTGGCTACATAACAAAAAAAAATGTTCACTAAAAAAAATTGCATCTGGCGTCTACAAGTTTCTTAGTTAATAGTGAGGGAAAAACAATCAAACTCCTATGTGGGAAATTAATAATAGAACGTATGTGGGAAATATCAATCAAATCATTAATTTTTTTTTCTTGAGGTCGAGGAAGATTAACCAACAAAAATTCACGATCAAACAGAAACAACGAAGGGAACTATTGTGAAGTTAGAGGCAGGTAATAATGATCAAATAGTGTTTGTGATGCGAGAGAAGATGAAGAGAGTTTTGTTTTCTCCTTAATGGTGGTGATTTATTATTGGTCTCATTCAATGCTAATTAATATTCCATACCGGATATATAATTAAGTGTGTTTGGGAATGCTAATTAAGTAATCTAAGAAGTTCTAGACCAAACATTTTTCACTTCCAGTTACTTTCCCCAAAATGTATAAATAAACTAAATAAAAATAAAACAAATAATGATGATAATGGTTTAAGAGTTAAAGTTATTTTAAACAGAAGTGAAATAAATTGTCTCAGTGGGCTTTGCTGAAGGAGAGGGGAGGGAGGGAGGGAGGGGGAGGAGCTTAAGCATACCGTCACTCAGGGTAACTCAAACAATAAAGACTCGTGTACACTTAACGTTCACTTGATGTAAACAAACACTCATTAGACTGACACCAAACACTCATGGTAATTGGGTCCCTCTATCTAGGTCGTAGTTCCAGCGTTAATGACAAGTCAGTTATTGGTGAAGGTGGGAACACAAGGCGACAGTATAAAGATTTCTCATAATTTATCGACGATGATTTTTCTCCAGGTTAAATACTTGTCATTATCAAAATTGAAACCTATGATTGGTAATGATTAGAAAAAAAATAATTATGATTTGCCCTTTAAATATAAAAGTTAACACCTGCTAACACCTGGGTCGATGCTAATTAACACGTCAAACAGGTGAGCTAACTTTAAAACCATAGAAATATTGTAAAATACACTCTCACGTTGTTACTAGTGTCGTAGAGTGAATAAAGAGAGAGTGAAACCTATACTGTATGCCATAAATAATACAGAGCTATAACATTCCGGCGGCCACCACATCCATCCCCCGGACAACATCTCAATCTCGTGTGTAACTAAGGCATAGAGATGCAGGTCTCAACTCAGAGGTAAACAAGAGTTCACATGATTCAGGCCAGAGACGAGGGTTTGAGGATAAAACTCGTGCCGTCTGTCGTGGGGGGCCGGCCCTTAGTCTATATGCAAAGGAGATCTCGGCACACTGTGGCCTCTGTGTGTGTGTGTGTGACTTGGACGAGTGGGAGAGGGAGGCTGTGGAGGGTAGGAGAAGGATTATGGAGGTCAAGGGAAGGATTGGGGAGGGGTAAGGGGGTGATTGTGGAAGGTTAAGGGAGGGATTGTGGAGGGGTAAAGGGGTGATTGTGGAGGAATAAGAGACGGATTGTGGAAGGTAAGGGAGGGAACTGTGTGTTAACTGATTGCCCCTGAACACTGACGACCTTAATAATATTGATTTAACGGGAGAAGTTACTACACATCCTGAGCCAATGCGGAAATATACACTAGCCTTATCTCCACACCTCACACGCCAGACAACAGATAAAGACAGATATCATTGAGGACCATTGAAAGTCAAGTGAGTGTTGGAAATCTACAAGAAAATCTAACAGTGACTGAAGCCGGGTTGTGACATTGCTTTTGGACCTTTTGACCATGAAAACTGAACAGGTGTAGGGGTTGTCATGGTAACCCTATTGTTTAGTTAATTTCGTTGTTGTGTTGTGCTGCCGACTTACACAGGTAAATAGTTTCATAGTGTATTGGGCCCGCTGTTGTTTGTTTGTTTTATAAATGACATGCCTGACGTTGTACACGCCTCCATACAAATGTTTGCCGATGACGCCAAGTTATTTCGGGAAATCAAGAACCAAGCGGACTGTGAAGAGATGCAAAAGGACCTCTGTAGGCTCCAAGAATGGTTGAAGAAATGGCTGCTGAGATTCAATGTCACAAAGTGTAAGAGGATGCACCTGGGGCGTACAAACGGTAAGGAGGCGTATCATATGTCCCAACGGGATGAAGAAACTGCACTATATTTGAGACTGAATGTGAGAAGGACCTAGGCGTGTATGTTGACAACGAGCTGAACTTCTCGGGCCTTTGCGAGAAGAAGGTAAATCAGGAAAATAAATTATTGGGTCTTATAAGAAGGTCGTTCAGATATCTAGACGGCCCGTCCCTCGTAACGATCTTCAAGATTGAAGTGCTTCCCCATCTGGAGTACTGTCACCCCGTCTGGTCCCCGAGATATGCTCGGGACTGTCAGTTGGTTGAAAATGTTCAAAGGAGGGCCACCAGACTGGTACCTGCACTTCGGCACCTCAACTTCCCTGAGAGATTGGAGCGCCTGAACTTGCCTAGCTTATACTACAGACGGGTAAAGGTGACCTAATTGAGGTGTATAAGCATCTCAAGGGGCACTACTCAGTTGAGTGTCCTTACTTGGAGCTGGCGGACGCTCGCACCACAAGGGGTCACAGCTCAAGATTGAAGAAACAGCAAGTCCAGAAAACTGTGAGGGCAAACTTTTTCGGAGTGAGAGTTGTGAACTCTTGTAACAATCTCCCAGAAAGTGTTGTGACAGCACCGAGTGTGAGCTCTTTCAAGACAAGACTTGACCAACACTGGAGCAGGTTCAGGCACATTCAGGAGCCGGTGCATGCCCAGTACTTGCCAACAGTGAGTAACAGAGACGTGACCGATCGCCCAAGCGGCTAACGAGCCGATCAGTGGTGAAGAGGATAAATAAATAAATAAATAAATAAATAAACAACCCTTTCACTGCCATTTTTATCATTGTATTCTGGCTACTGAGAGACGATCAGAATCAGCTTAGGGAATCCTCTGGCAGCCAAAGGGTCACGAGGGTGCTGACTAACCTGCTCATGTGTATTGGCCACAAATTTGCAGTAGTGGTAAACAGTTGCTAATTGTCTCAAATATTGTTTTAGCTGCGAAATAACCGCGCCGGGAAACTGTGGCCCTGAATACCACACACCCGCCCCTTATGCTCTCTCGTGCTCCCCGAGTGTGTTTTACCCCTAACTTCCCCCCACATAAAACCACGAGAGAAATAAACCTAATTACGGGGATAAATGGATCGAATTTCTATTAGGATCTGAATTTTACGGGGCAAGAGATCCCATCCCGGCGGTAGGGGGCGAGGCTGTGTGTTGTTTTCCTGGCTCGGGGATAAACTGAGCTATATATAGATCGTTAATGGTGAATATCACATTAAGTATTGTATTAAACGAGGAATGAGCGACTCTCACTTGAAGGAGGGGTGTTGGAGGGAGGGGTGGAGGAGGGAGAGGTGTTGGAGGGAGGGGTGGAGGAGGGAGAGGTGTTGGAGGGAGGGGTGGAGGAGGGAGGGGTGGAGGAGGAGAAGTATTGGAGGACGGGTGAAGGAGGAGGTGTTGGAGGAGAAGTATTGAGGGACGGGGAAGGAGGGAGGGATGTTGGAGGGAGAAGTGTTGGAGGAGGTGGAGGAGGGAGAAGTATTGGAGGACGGGAAGGAGGGAGGTTGGAGGGAGAAGTGTTGGAGGAGGGGTGGAGGAGGGAGAAGTATTGGAGGGACGGGTGAAGGAGGGAGGGGTGTTGGAGGGAGAAGTGTTGGAGGAGGGGTGGAGGAGGGAGAAGTATTGGAGGGACGGGTGAAGGAGGGAGGGGTGTTGGAGGGAGAAGTGTTGGAGGGAGGGCCGTTGGAGGCAGGTTACACTAAATCCCTCTTGATTATCGGTTCGTAATATTGTATGCCCCTCACTACGAATATAGAAGCATATTAACTTATATCTGTCTGTCTTGCTACCCTTTTGTCTGTTAGTCCGTCAGTCCGTCTATCCGTCCGTCCTATTCAAGTTTGTCATCAGGATTACTTTACTTTATCCTCTTCACCATTTGATGGCCTGTTAGCCGCTTGGACAGTCGGTCACATACATCTCTGTTAAGCACTGTTGGCAAGTACTGCGCATGCACTGGTTCTAGAATGTACCTGAACCTGCTCCAATGTTAGTCAGGTCTGGTCTTGAATGACTCACACTCGGTCCCGTCACAACACTTTCCGGCAGATTTTTCCAAGAGCTGACAACCCTCACTCTACGAAAATTTGGCCCTGACAATTTTCTGAACTTGAGGCTTCTTCAGCCTTAAGGGGTGACCCCTGGTGGAGCGGGCGTCCACCAGTTCCAGGTATGGTGGTGATTGTAGATTTCTGTTAAGTCACCCCTTACCCGTCTAGAGTTAAAGCTGGACAACTACAGACGTTCCTATCTCTCGCCAGTTGATCAGTGAGGTTATGTAACCTTCGATTATGTATTTCGATTTTCAGAAATTTCATGGTATTTTACAAGATGGTTAAGTTATTGTATTCAAGGAGGCTAAATCATCGTATTCAAGGGGCTAAGTCGTCGTACTGAAGAGGCTAAATCATCGTAGTCATGGGGCTAAGTCATCGTACTCAAGGGGTTAAGTCATCGTACTCAAGGGGCTAAATCATCGTACTGAAGAGGCTAAGTCATCGTACTCAAGGGATTAAAATACAGTATTTCCACGTACCAAGAGATTAAGATCAAGA